TGGATGTATATATGGAATATACTCGTAAGACTGAACTGATTGGTGAATTGCCTGTTTCACTGTAACGGTCCTATTATTCATGACCCTCAAGAATTCTACCTATATATGAAGGGAGAACAATGATGTAAGGAAAAAAAAAAAGAATGGGATCTCATAAAATAAATAAACTAAGTTTTAAAATAGCCCATAAAAATTGCTAATGTATTAAAAATAAAAGGAATTCCACCTACTCACTTCCCAAGAAATGGACCTCAGTGTCATTAAAACGTTAGGGAAATCCCAGGCTTCCATTGTTATAACATTGTAAGGGCTAATAAAATATAAACGAACACATCTAGTTTTGTTGTCTTCAAAATCCAATTTGCAGAGTACCATTTTGTACAACTGTCAAGTTCTTATAAGAGACTAAATCCACTATTCAGACCTTGACTCAACAGAGGTTAGGTAGGGTTAACCTGATTTCCCTCGGCGTATGTGTGTTTATATGTGTGGTTTTTGTAAGTTAGTGGTGCAACAGTAATGGAACTAGAATATGGTTTAACAATACTCGCAAGTCCAAACTAGATTCCACATTTACATTCTTGCCTAACACTCTACTCCAGGAAAATTCTGATACTTTTTCAAATCCCAGCTTAAATCTTTCTTCTTCTAATGGACCCTATTCCCAGGTAAAGGGAATTAGTCTTCTCTCTGATAGAAATTGTCACACTGTAAATTTTCCTTTTCTATCAATTTGCATGCGATAATAAGTGATCTTTTTGTCAAACATGAACCAAAGTTTTCCTCATTTATCTTACTCATCTTCGTATTTTTCATTCCCAGCAAAAAATATGCCATATAATTAATACCTAATAAGGTTCTTGAATAAATATGTCTCTCCAGATACCCAGTGCAGATCTTTTCGAATAGAAGCCATCAAAACCAAATTGAGTCCCCACCTGTTTTTATAAATAAAGTCTTTTTGGAACTCAGCCACACTCTTCAATTACATACTGTCTCCTTTCATGCTCTAAGACAAAGTTGAGTAGTCGTGACAGAGAATGTTTAGCCCACATACCTAAAATGTTTACTGTCTGGCACTTTTACAGAAAAAGCTTGCTGGCCCTTGTTCTAGACATATTCCTTTCACTCAATACTGCTAGATAAATTGAAAATGTCTCAGTCACTGGTGCCATTTATATAGGTTTTTTTGAAAATAGTATGCCGTTACTTTTGGTCTATCAAGTTACCGTAAAGGTCATCATTAAGTTATGGCTGTATTTCATTGCAGTTCTATGGAAGCTACTCTGGTATTAGTTGAACACCTAATTGAAGTTGTATGTTTTCTAAACCACAACAATACTACCTTTACGAGTCATCATCTTGTCTGATATTTGTGGGATCACAGAAATCAGGATACAAAGAATTGTAACTGGCTAACTGATAAACATCAAACTCCTTTTCAGTTAAAATAAGAGGAAGTCAATATTATTTCTAGGGGCTTATAAAACAAGTTACATGGTAGTAGAAGGCGTGGAAATATTTTCCTCATTCCTAATCTTTGAGTAACCTAATACTAAAGTTTTGGCGTCTAGAATTACACAGCAATAGGCTTTTTGCTAAGGCAAGGTTATATAGAATAAATTAAGCACTATCAGTTCCTGATCTTGATTTCTAGAGGTTTTTATCCTAGGTTTATATAAAGTTATTATATTAGCACATTGATTGACGCAGAAGATGCCATCAAAAATACTTGTTGAATTAACGTCTGGGTAAATAGGACCTGGCTTTTCAAAATCTTTACAGGATTCATTTATTATTAATATGTTGCATTAGCCTTCTGTCCATTAAAAAATAGTCAATTTTATCATTGCTCAGTGAAAGACAAAATTATATCTAGCTGAGATTGATAACAAGATTGTTTACAGGGAACATACAATTAGAGTAGCCATTGAAGGACTGAAAAAAAAGTAGGGAAGGAAGGCATGTGAGGTAGGGAGAAGGAATCAGCAGAGACAAGTACACAAAGGATGAGCGTAAAGGAATGGGGCTGATCCTGGGGTAGTCTGTATTGCAGGTTAGAGTAGTTGCATGTAAAAATCTAACAAGTCGATTAAGTCTGTAGCTCTAGAATTAAATACTTTAGATACCTCACCATCTTGTTAGAAACCACAAGATGTTTGAACAAAGGAATAAAGAGTAAAAGATACTAGATGTGGAAAAGATGAGATGGGAGACCTGTGAAGTGAATAAGAGGTAATGACAAGAAAGGATGACTCAAGAGCCATAAAACGTTAAGTTGAATAGCTACTGGGGGAGAAAGTCAGGAAGTCAAAACTGATCACAGCGTTTCTAGCCTTAGAAAATATGGTCTTGTCATTGACAGAAAATAGAAAATCAGAAACATTCTGGGGAAAAGATAGTTAACTTAAAGAAAAAATAGATGAGGCACAGAGCTCAGGAGAGAAGCCAGGGCTAGGTAGTAGATTTCATAGATCCCACATTAAAGAAAGCATCTTTTTACAGCAAGATTAAGGAGAGTATAATCCAGGAAAAAGCATTAGTATTTAGCTATCAGGAGATCACTTATTACTGTTGAAAACGTGGACCAGGTTGCCAAAGCTTAAAACTGAGGCACTCAACCTGAGGACTCAGACTTCTAATTGCTTGTGAAGGTAGTATTGGAGAGATTTCAAAAAGCCTAATGGAAATATTGCATGCAGCTAAGTAACTAAATAAACAAGCAAAATGTCACATTTCTTTTTCATTTCCTGAAATCATACCAATCCATTGTTGGTTTTTATACAGACTAGAAGTTCTGATGTGCATTAGAGATGCATTTGATTGATTTAAAATGGCAAAGTGCATTATTACTCAATCTTGCCTCTTCAGTCTTTTGAAAGCATTCAAGTGTTCCTTGGAACACACTTTGGCAAATGTGTGAGATAATGATGTGAAGTTGCCTAGCAGCAGGCTCTGTGATGGGCAGAATCAAGGTTTCAGTCCCAAGATGTCCAAATAACTGCAACACTAATAGGTTACAGAGTATTTCCATGTACATTGTCTCCTCTTTTCTTCTCACTACTCATTAAAACATCTCCCAGCTATCCTTAATTCAGAAAATAATTAGGCAATATCATTTTTTTTAAAGATTTATTTATTTATTTATACAAGCACTGGGTACAGTCAGAAGCGTGGGAAGGTGAGAGAACTTCACCAGAGCCAGAGTGGGGAGCAGAACAGGCAGACAGACAAAGTGCACTGCTGAGGGGAACAGCGGGCGGCAGGAGAGGTCTGTGTGCCATGCGGGACCCTCACCTGGTGGCCGGGGATCGAACCCGTGCCCCAGAGGCTGCGGGCAGCTCCGCAACCCAGCGCTCAACTGCTGCGCCACCAGGGAGGCCCTAGGCAATATCATTTTTAACTTTGCACAATCCTAGTCCTTATGCTTCAGGATTGATCTGGAAGAACCCAGCACTTTTTCTTTTCTTCTGCTTCTGTTAAGAAAATGTAATCTTGCTTTTCTTAAATGTCCATTAGCAAAATCACCTTAGAAGGCGCATTTGCTATGTCTATGGATTTTTTTTAGGTGTATGTGTCACATCTGTAGCCTTTTAATTCAGTTACTCAAAGAATAATGATGCAAATGTCCATAATAAATATTTGAGACTAGAGATGGAATTTTTTAACACGGACATATATCTGGCTCTTGTGTTTCATTATGTACATTTCAAGGACTTGATTATTGTAATCTGTCTGTCATTAACTACCAATATGAAAAGCTCATGACAAAAAAATCCTTGGAGTGTTTGTCATCATCCTGTGCTTCTTTAGTGCTTTGTAATAGACTGTTAAATGTGAACTGTGTGTGTTCTTCATGTTTTGTAAGGTATGTGTGTTTAAAAAGTATCCCTGAAATAAACAAAAACTATAAAAAATATTAGCTTGCAAGGTTAATCAAACATTTCTTAGGACTGCTGTTTTCTCTATACTCCATGTCGAAAAGTTGCTAGAATTTTTAAAAAAATTTTAAAAGATAGAGACAGACACCAACAAACACAAAAAGCATAAAATTTAAAACACCCTTTGTTAATTATCTCAAATAACTGGATACGCTAAAAGATAATAGCATCCTTTGCTAAATAGTTCCAGGTAGTGCCTTAGTAGTTATCTACCTGATCTGAGATGGATAAGGGCCAGTAGTGGAATCTAGTGTCCTACATTTGACATTAAACTCCATTTGTAAAGCCTCTTTGACTGCGTTTCGAGTGCCCCATCACTGGCAGCTGCTGAACTGCAGAGTGCTCGCGTCACTTGTAGAGGCAAACATGTTTCAGCTCAAAACACTGGGGAGATCTGGGGTCCTCCACATAACAAGAGGCTATCCAGGTTACTTCTGAGAGAGATCTTTCAAAGATAGAAATACTTGACACCTGAGTTCCTGCTTAAGTAGTGTCTCCCATGTCCAGCCCCACCCTACTCCAGAACTGCCACATGCCCTTAGCAAGGCAGAGACCTTCTGGTCTCTGGGAAAACATGGGCTCTCACTTTCTCTCTAAATCTATTAGACTCTCAGGAGCGATATTCTATGCTGGACTTTGGATGTGGGTGGCAGTAAGCTGATTTACCGTCAGATGCTCTAGAACCCAAAGGCAAGAAAAAGGTAAAGAAGAGAGCCCAGGTGTTTGAAGCAGAGTTACAGCCAGAGAAAGAATAAAAGGAAAGTAATGTTTGAATGTAAAGAGTGATTTAGTAGTGTTTATTCTAGTTTATTTTGCTTATTAGTATATTTGAAGCTAAAACTTCAGGATGAGTGTTAGGCCTCTGTTTAGCAGGATCTCTTCTGGCTTAATTGACTATTCCTTACCATGCCCATATTTCCTCTGCCTTTAAAAGTAAGGCATCCTCTATTTTCTTTTACAGTTAGGAATTGAGGCAAATGCCTTAGACTCAGAGATGCACTGACTTTTGACTCATGGCTTTAAAGGAAATAATAATTTTTACATATATATATGTCCTAGATGGTGCCAAAGGTCCCAAATCACCAAGGGCATCCAGTTCATTGGTGATGCAAGGAGGAAAAATTAAGCGGAAGTTTGTGGATCTGGGGTAAGCACTTCATGATGTTATAAAGCAAGCCCTCTGGTAAAAGAAGGATTTAAGGAGAAAGTGTCACTTCCCTTCTCTGACTGTGTATTGTCATTATAGGGCACCTTTGCGAAGGAATTCCAACAAAGTAAAGAAATGGAAAGAAAAAGAAGTCAATAGATTTTCTTCAGGTAACAGGTATGGGTAGGTGATTAAGAACACAGATTTATTTCTCTGCCTAAACTTTCTCCTCCTTCCAATATTAACCAAAATCAGTGTTCTATATCTTTGAGCAGAAGTAATACAACTAGAGTTGAGATGAAAGGAAATTTTTACAGTTTATTTCAATTATAGCCTATATCTGGCCTTGGTCATATCCACTGATTAGTTACTGAATTATGGTCAAGTGAACCACAATTTATGTTAATCGAAACACAGCATAAATGTATCTAGGTGATGTGGCAAATTAAACATACCACAACTCTTTTGCCTGTCTACCTACAATACTGGTTATCTTCTGTTTTTGTTAAGTCTGAAGGGGTAGTTTTGCATTTGAGTTGTTGGTTTTCAAGACTGTTCAGTCCACGTGCATATAAGCTAGACCACCATCTCTTGTGAGATCTAGCTATTTAGTCGATTTTTGCAGGCCCTATCAACTATGCTGACTTCTCAATAAATTATTTCCTAGAGAGAAGTGAGCTGTATACAACATAATGTCCAGTTTTCCTAGTTTTATTTTGAGATTACATGTTATAACCTGAGATTTGTGTAGGGAGAAAGTAAAAACTTAGAGCTCTGTAGTCTGACTACCTAGGTTTGAATTAGCCCTTCCATTTACTGCCTTTATAATCTTAGGCAAGAACCTCCCTGATTGCCTACGGGTTAAGTCTCACTGCTGTGGCCTGAGTTCAATCCCCAGCCAGGGAGCTAACCCACATATGGCGCAGCAGACCTCTCCTGTCTCGCCTGCTGCTCCCCTCAGCAGTGTATTTCAGTAGATCCACCTGTCCTGTACCCCACTCTGAATCTTGTGAATCCTCTCACCTCCAACCCCACCTCCCCACCACCTCTGGCCTACACTTCAGTTCTTCTATGCATAAATAAATTTTAAAAAATCTTTAAAAAAACCCCAAAATCTTAGACATGTTATCTAACCTCTATGCTTCTGCTTTGTCATCTGGAAAATGATGCTAATAGTAGTACCTACCTCATAGCATTAGTGTAAGGATTAAGTGAATTTTCATGTGAAGCATTTTAAATGCTACCTGGCCCAGGTATTCAAAATTAATTAGTATTCAAGATTAATTAGTATTCAAAATTAATAATAAAGACAATAGTTTGCTATTATTATTGGTAAGCTACAAAGCACTTTTGCATTTATTACTTCATTTGACTTTTACAATAAGAGTGGGAGGGCAGACGCTGTTTTATTGATACTATGCTTCATCATCATAGAGTTCAGTTGATTTGCCCAAGGTTATACAATAGGCAGTTAATGAAATAGGCTTCACCCTAAATGGGATGTAAGTCAGGCATGAGGGGAAGAAGGTATGTAGAGGTGGTTGAGTTCACTTCATCATAGTGGCCAGAGATGATCAACTCCTTATAAAAATACCAGGTGATAAGCAATCAAATCTTGATTCTGTTGGTGAGCGCCCACCTTACTGTAGCCAAAACCATAGTCAAGGGTGGCTGTCACTGACACACAACTTAGCCCTAGCTAATGCCAGCAACTGAACCAGCAACCAGCGAGCTTCTGGTGTAGCTGCCTAGTCAGCTCTATATTTTTGAATGCATTAGCTCTGGAGTCTCTGCTTCTGCGGCCACAAATAGTTCCACATGTACCAATGTCATACACTCATTTACAATTAGAATCATAATTTTAATTATATGTAATTATAGTAGAATTTTGACAGAGCTGAAAGGAATTCATGCAACTGACATAATTACGTGAAGAGGGACAAGAAGAGGGCATTTTTTGTTTCAAGAAACTAATTCTAGCAGCTATCACAGTAAGGAGTTAACTAATCAAATCTAATGACAGCCCCTGTTCTTCCACATTGATTGATACTGGGCCCAGAATCATAGAACACATATTCTAGGAAGAACAGTTATTGCCCAGTAGACACTTAATGCATTTGAGGTGGTTTCACTGAAGGGCCCCTGAAGGTAGGTGGTTGTAAGCATTCTCAGCTGCAGGTTCCCTTTATATTTGTGGCAAAGAATTGGGAATAAACTCATCACCTGTCAGGCTTCCTCAGTGAAAGGAAAGAATGATTCATGGATTGAGTTAGTAATCTTACTAGGTTGTAAAAATCTGATATGATCTTTTAATCAGTTATAACCTGAGGCTACTAGACTTTGAAGAGGTAAGACATTGACTGAGTTTGATCTTGGTTTTAGTTTTTCAATTCCCAAAGAGTTAAGTTTCCTTTATTGTATTCTTTATGGAGACATAAAATCTCAAATGCTTGACCAACATAAGACAAACAGAAGAGGTAAAATAATAATAAACCCTGCAAAGAAAAAGGTTGGGATCTGTCCTTTCCAAATATGTGCTCAGTGCACATTCTGATTAAAATATGCAGCATAGCAGATAACAAAAGCAGGAAACAGTTATTTGCCAGAACTTGTTCATCCCTTAAAATACACACCAAAAAGTAAAATAAAAATAAAAAGAATAAGTAGGCACTGGTTTCAGTGGAACGTCTGATTTAGAGCTCTGTAGGAACAGGTTAGTCACTGAATGGAAAGGCCTGAGAGCATATACGTAACTCAGAGTAAGGTTTAATGGTGGATGTGGGAAAATGACAGGAAGGCAGATGGCAGTCCTTTGTGGAAGTGAATTTGCGTTCACCTTGGAAGTATGAACAGTGGAAAAAACAGCTGGAATCCAAGTGTTCATCCTGACTTTGCTGTGGGTAAGTCTCTGAATTCCTAAACCTTTGTTTCCTACCAAATAATCAGTGAGGTACTCTAAAACCACCTGGTCTCTGCTTCCCCATTCATCTCTGCACTACCCATCTGGTAGCTTCTTCTCAAATGTGGCCATGGAGCACTAAAAATGTGGCTACTCTATATTGAGATGTGTCAGTGGAGAAAATCCATGCTGAATTTCAGAGACCTATGTGGAGAAAAAAAGAATGTGACATATCTTATTAATAATTTCATAATATTGATTACATGTTGAAATTGTATTTGCAATATTCTGGATTAAATATATTATAAAAATTAGTTTGACCTCTTATTTATCTTATGCGGCTACTAGAAAATTTTAATTTCTCTATGTGTTCATATTATATTTCTATTGGATAGTGTTGATCTGTATGATTTTATGAAAAACAAATCCTCTTTTCATTTCTGAATCACCATTCAAGTAATCTGTAAATTAGCATGATTTATTGGTTTATTTTTTATTTACCTATATGTACTCCTATTTGCTCAAAGTGTCATTTTTTTATATAAAAGTACATATGATACAGCAATATGAATTATTTTCAAAGTAAATTGGATAGGGAAAAATAAGATAAAGCACAAAATAAGAAGGATACTTATAATGCTCCATCTTGAGCAATACCTTTGTTTATAACAGTGGCATTCGGTGAAAGTCAAAAGTGTAGTGTCAAACTGGTTAAGAGCCTGAGTTCAAATTCCAACTCTTCTATTTATCTTGGACAAGCCACTTCAACTTTCTGTGCCTTTGTTTCTTCATCTATAAAAGTGAAACATATATGTATACACACACACATATCCATACCTCTTACACAATTGGGAAAATTGAGAGTATCACATTTTAAGTCCTTCATAAATATAAGCTATGGTTAATATAAGCTATCTTTATCATTATGGACATTTAAAGCTGTTCAGATCACAGGGGTATTCCCTGGACATAATGTGCTCATAGCCTCATTCACCAAAGGGGACTTGGATACCCCTTCATTGGTGTTGTTTCTCTCAAACCAACTTGAGTAAATCATGGCGTGATGGTGAGTTTGAGATCATACCTCGTGCCTCGCACCAGGAGGGTCGCCCTGCTGTGTTTCTGAGTAGGAGCAGAGACTCTGCTTAACAGTCAGCTGAGCTGGGGTGGAAACATCCTCTTTTTCAGAAGAGTTGAGTGGTACAGAGCAAAACATCTCACCTCCTCCTAAACCTGGGCCAAAAAGGCACCCCAGGGAGGAGCCAAAATTTTCCTTTAAAAAAACCAAAGACTTTTAAAAAACAAGAAACAAAAATGCAGCTGTAAATGGCTAGTGGAGAATGGCACCATAATTTGAACCTGGACAGTTTTAAAGCAGCATCAACAAGCCCCTTTGTACCCAGAACAGGGATGACAGAACTCAGCGTAGTGCTGCCGGTTCTTCACTTGGGCAGAAGAACTGTGGGTTCTCCCTGGCACTGGATATTCTTAATGCCCAAAGGCAACTTTGTCCTCAAAAAGAAGATTTTTTTAAAGTCTGAAATTTTAAAACTTAGCTTTTTTAAAACTTCAGTTTAAGTTACAAATCTTGTCATTTTGGTTAAACAGCTAGTAAAATTGTATGCAAATTAAAAGCAGCAACTCTCATGGAGACCTTTGAATAATGTTAGCTTAACCTCAGTTGGAACAGACATGTTCCCCCAGAATTGGCTACTCTATTTTTAGCAGCATTCATAAATTTAACCTACTCAGTTTTCTTTTTAAGTACTTAATTTGAAGCTATTCTTTCTCCCCAATTCCTAACAATAGAACAATCAGAAATATAACACTGACTTGTGATTCGATTTTTTCCAAAAATGATGGCCTTTATTATAAAGCTAAAAAAGAAGGTGAAGGAAGTGCGGAACACATACCCATTTTGATCCCCTAGAAATTATTTTCAGATCCTTTAAGAATTCCTTTCTACCAATCTTGATTTTTCAAGGAAGTCACTAAGAATCTATATGGAGCTTATGCACCCTAGTCCATAAAATGTGGTTAGTGTCAAAAATAAAAGTTAAGATGAGAAGAGTAGGTGGGAGAGTAAAAGAAATGTGGCAGGAAGGTGGAAAGGAAGAATTTTATGTTATTCCCAACAGATTTCTCTACAAAATGAATCAGACTGTAAGAGTAGTTAGTTGCAGACTGACCAGCCGAGTCAAGCAAAATCTGAGGGAGGACGGTAGGAGATTAAGGAAAGACGGAAATAGACCATTTGGGCCATTGTTAGTGAAAGCTGGGACCAGATGGGCTGTCGCAGAGCAGACCCACCCAGTCCTGGCACAGCACATTTATTTATACAATCTCAAGCAAGGTGGGGGACAAGGCAAGGTTGATGTGTTTGTGACAGTTAGCATCTTGGAGGTATCAGGAGGTGCCAATGTTTGCAGCAATATCAGAAAGCTGCATGCCTGTGCTGAGCTCAGTGTTCTAGCTTAAAGGTCACAGTGGGAAGACACCCTCTTTCTATGCCTCGTAACCGAGCAACTGGTTGCTGTCTCAGGTCATCCAGCAGATCAGGTCATCCATCATGGATCAGGACTGTTGTTCCAAGAGCGCATGCCCCAGCTCCCAACAGTCAGTGATAGAATAACTGCTGTCGAGCCCCCTCTGCATGTCCAGTAAGCTGATGGGTTTGCAATTTTAAAAATGAGTATACTGTATTCTACGCCAAAGTACCACTAGTGGTCCAGTTGTTTAAGGATACTGGGAAACAGGAGTTATATCAGCTCTTGTGCTTTTAGAGTCAAGTATATACAAATCAATGGGGGAGACAGAATACAGCATCAGCGGGAAGACCGATAAGCCTTCTGGAAAACAGGGAAATACTGTTCAGTATGCCCCAGGACCTGGCAGTTTGCAGCTATGAGGACAGTGGTTTCTCCTTAGAAGTGGGCTTTCATCATTCTCTACGTGACTGTTCCTCCATTCTTTCTGTTGTCCTGGTGTGTGATGTGAGGAAAGAAAGCCTCTGGATAGTACCCAAGACTGAGTTTCCATGATCTCATTCATCACACTCACACCGAGGGCTCCGGATCTGTCTTCATGAAGTGCTGGCTATACAAGTTGACATAGAATTAATAGTCTTGACTGTTTTCCTGGCAGTGAGAACTGTATGAAAGAGTTTAATTAGATATATGGTCTTTACTTTTCGTTTGAAATGCTGCCTGAACAGGAGTTGAACTACGAAAAGTCCCTTTCAAATAAGGCATTAGAATGACAAAAATTAGAAATATTTTTATTTCTAATATTCTTATTTCCTGCCTACTCCAAAATAAAAACTTAGTGGTGGATTTTCTAAAACCATTGTTACAAAGGCAGTTCCCTTGGGAATAGAGCGAGGTAATTGTGCTATAATTAATTAAGGCCTGTTTATAAATTTCAAAACACTTTCCATATGTTTAAGCATTATCATGTGTTACTGAAATTATAGCTGAAACTCATAAAAAAAATTCCCACATTACTTTGACAAATTGATTCAGAAATTTACAGCCAAAAGGGAAAATAATGATCAGGTCCCGTTTATCTTAAACACGCCCAGTTATAAGAGAGCTAGACTACAGAGAAAGTATTGTATCTTAGAGCTTTCGACATTTTTTTATTGGAATGTGGGACTGAGCTGAAAGACAAGCCTTAGAGTTAAATTATGCCTGGAGAGATAGTAAGAACTGCAGTGAGGTTTACTTCCCCAGAGTTATGTGGTTATATTTTCAGGGACTGGGGGTGGGGAAAGGAAGATGAGACCCAGCTCCATGGAGACATTCCCAGGGTTATTAAGCTGGAGATACTAGTCTTGGCTTCCCCGGGAGACATATATTTGCTTTCCAAAGGGTAAGAACACAAGATCCTTCCCAAGTCACATATGTTTACATTAAAAAGATTAGATTTCTCTCCCATTCTCAAAGGGGAGGAGAGGATAACTGTCCCTCTCCTATATAACAATCCAGATTCATATTTTTTGGATTCTTCACCTACACTGTAAACCAAGTATAGAATAACATCTGGTTCTCATTGTGTAACTCTGGAAAGAGGAAATGAGGGCATGGGGAACCAGCGCAGTAATTTTGTAAGTAAGTAATGACCGCCTTTGCTCCAGAAGCCCCATATTTACATTCAGGATATTAATAAATATAGATATTAAAAACAGTAAGAGCCACCTCAACCATGGGTTGAAGTATAGCTTCCAGGTCAGCTCCTTTCCTCCCTTACCCTAGATTCTAATTCAATCCGACTAGGTGCCCAGGGATCTGTATTTGAACAACTGCCCCAGAAGATTCTTACCAGACATGTTTGGGAAACATGACGTGTTTGCGAAACAGGACCGGGAATAAAAATGCTGCTCACAGAAGGCAAATCTACCTCTGCTACCCTGCTATCTTAAGTTCATTTATTATAAATCATCCTAGCCCCATCTTTTGATGGGGACTTAGAGGCCCATATGGCCTCAAGTGATCTCTGAAAATGTTTCACCAAACTCTGGACCCAGAGAACCGACAAAACCATACAAATCAAGAGTGTCAAGTCTGTGTGTTTATCTTAAGATATTCTTGAAACTTCCCAGGCCACCAACAGTGTGCATATATGAAAAGCCACCAAGTGTCTGAAGAATGCCACTCTACAGAAGCAGTGTTTGCCATTCTGTCCTGACAGTGGTGGAGCTGTTGGGTGTGCCCACGCCAGACAGCAGGGCTGGACACAGGATTGGTGGCCCAAAACTAGTGCTGAATTTTTTGCTGCACATGCTTAAAAATGCAGAGAGTAATGCTTTAAAGCGCTTTCACACATACCATCTTGTTTGATTTTTAACCATATATGAGGTACATAAATTACTTTTTAGAGATGAGGAAATAGAGGCTGAGAGAAGATGCAATGCTATGTACTCAGGAACTGAAAGACCCAGGACTAGGGTGTTAGGACTTCAGATCTCATGTTCCCCCTAAGAAAATGTGGTAAGGTTATGATGAAAACCAGTAAGGGGTGTGTTCTGCTTAAAGTCCCATGAATCCTGAATTTCCAAATTATTTATTTAAATTTCATTTCCTAAGGCCCCACATGCTTGGGAATATGAATTTAGAGGAAGACAGGAAAGAATGCTTGTTATGGGCCAGTGTCCCAGCGGTGAGGCGCACGTATGTGGCAGAAGTAAAGGGAAAACTGTGATGATTAACCTAATAACTGTTCCTAAAATGCCCTGCCTGTCCCTGATTTTTAATTCATCCACATACATTTCTTAGCTCATTTCATAAAAATTCACCATGGCATTAACAGTGCAAAAATATTGATCATTGTTACTGAATTCAATTAGATGCAGAACATATAGCTATTAAGATTAATATTCTAGGCAAAAGTAAATCTTATTTTATCTGTTGTGTAGAACAGCTAGACTCCCTGAAGAATTTTGTTCCATAAATCTCACATGTGCCCTTCTTTCTTGTCTAACACACCCAATCTTTTCATAAAACAGGGTCTTCAGAGGCAGGCTGGACCACTGGAAACCGAAGCCAACCTCCCCAACTCAGGCCTCCCTTCGCTCGCCTTGCATGCCTTTCTCGTGGTTTAATGAAAGTCGGAAAGGATCCTATTCTTTCAGGAACCTGCCTTCACCTCCAAGTTCCCTGCAGCCTTCTTCTGAGACTCTAATTTCACATAAAAAGGGGTCCAAGGTAGAAAACACATGGATTAAAAAGCAAACTAGAAAATCCCAAATCCTTCCTTTCCTTCAGTCTTTGGAAAGCATTCTCAACTGTGTTTACTCTGGATCCGAGAAACCAATGTGATAACACTGCAATAAACAGTGCATGGTATTTCTTGCGTGGAGTGAAGAAAGCCTCATTTAACCATCACCTTCTTTAATAGTGGTCCATTCTAGATTGTGCATTACTCTGATTTGCCTGTCTCTTCACATATTGCTATTTAATCTCAGTTTGACAGTTAAGCCATGCTGGGAAAGATGCATTTGAATCCTGGAACAGTAAGTTAGATCTGTTTACCAAGCATTCCACTTTAAATCAAATTCCAAAACTATTGTGCTGTGCTTGTCAAGACTTACCAGAAAAACAAGTAAATTTAGTAGTGAATATTTGTTCAATACATATAAGTGAAACCCTTTAAAACAAACCAATGATGACATAGCACCCTATTTATTTCTTCTTTTAAATTGAACTTCCATGTTGAAAAATCTTTGTAATTTTATCACCAAAGTTCTTTAATTTTAGCAGAATTGGGAATTATATGCATGGATGGTATTTATTTTTCAATGCATGATGGTTATTTCCAGCATGACGCTGCAAACTTATCTAACATTTTGTTGAAACACGTAAAGTCACTAGCTAACTTTCTCACGTTGTTTGGTCTCCTTTTATCTGTGTTCACTTTTCTTTCTCAAACGGAAATGTGTGATTAACTTGAATTCTTTTCTTGAGGTCAATAGCTCATGGGGTTTTGACTAGGTTTGGGCTTGTGTCTCTGTTGACGGTGTCAAATGGTAATCACTATGTCAAATGCACTCCTGCTAAAATGTTCTCCTACTACCCTAACTCCAGGTGCTCAGATTCAGAGTCTCCTCTTCTGAACTTTTAGCAAACTTTGCAGTTTGTTTAGTACTTGTTTTTCCAGCCTCTCACATGTTATTTATTCTTAACAACCAACTAAACTCAATACAAAGAAACCTAACAGAAATCTAACAGTCCAACTCCTAATGACATGGAATATGAACCAAGATGGCACCAGTCGAGTACTTAAGAGTCTTTGGGAAGCCAGTCATTCTAGAATGATTACAAAATAGGTTTTGACATAAGTGGGCCACGCTGACCTGGAAAACTTGAGTTTTATTTACACACTCCCATGTACCCAAGTGGTAATTTGGAAAAGTGTTACTGACTGTGCTGCAGTCTCCTAGGTAATCTGCTGGGGCTGTGTGAGAGTTGTATTTTAGCAAGTAACTCCTAGTGCATTGTCAGGCCCTGACCTCCTCCTGAACTCATCATCTTGAAGGTTACATCCAGGAGAGGATCTGCCATTTCTCACAGTATTTATCACGGCCAACAGCAAGTGAGCCTTCCCAGGGGTGCTCCAGCTACCTTCCTAATATGAATTGCCATCTGTTCCTAATAACTCAGGCTCTCCAATACCATCTTGTATTTTTACTTAAACACTGTTTCTCATCACAATTGGGGTCAAAGAAAATAGGCTTATTAATATTACTCCTCTGAGCAGTTTCAGAGGATAATGAATGCTGTACCCTTGAAGAGAGAATGAAGAATCATTTCTCCAAAAACATCTGATGGAGAACGCCCCCAGAAATCCCTGTCCACCGAAGGTGTGATGTTCTCTACCACTGCCCCGTTGAAGTTCATCGCCAAGCCCAACATGAATTACTTCTAAGATTATTTTAAAAGAATTAGAACTTGCTGACACTCCTTCCTATGACTCCCTGACTCTGTTCATATAACACTGAGCTTTGTTTATTTTTACAGAATTTTACCTTCAACGACGACTTCAGTCCCAGCAGTACCAGCTCAGCAGACCTGAGTGGCCTAGGAGCGGAACCCAAAACTCAAGGGCTCTCTCAGTCTTTAGCGCTGTCATCAGATGAGGTATACTCTTGACACTTATGACAGCACTGCTTCCTCAGAACATACATTACATCTGTGCACTAATGCTGGGAAACTTTTTAGAGGAGATTTTGCATATAAGTCATCGAGACCATGGTTTAATATTTGATACGAAATCTTCAGGATTTTTCCCTCTCCCACTCTCTGTCTCAACATGAAAGCAATGAGCCCCTTTGAGCTCCTGCAGCTTCTCAAACTCTCTGATTTAATGGGATAACTCTAAACAGAGGTGTAGACATGGGAGGCTGGGCTCTGGAGAGAAAACACAGGCAATGACTCAGAAATCACATGGGAGTGGATAGATTATCCATTTCCATTCTCCCTCATCTAACTTACCACTACCCGTTCCCCCAAGATTTTGATATTCCCTCTGAGTAGGAAGTGACCCCTAGTTGGGAATCACTATAGTGGAGAGGAGAGAGGGGCTGTTCCCCTAAGGAAGAAAAACTGGCTGAGAAGAGCCAGGGCCAAATTAACATTGCTAAGAATTCTCAGGAGGTAAATTTGTGCCTCAGGGAATTTCATTGGTGGTTGACTTACTGCTGCAAGATATAAGTAGAGAGAAAATAATCTTCACCACAAGTAAAGATGTTTTCACTCTAAATATTTGTTGTTATTTCCTTCTGACATATTTTAGTTTTATAAACTTTTTTTCCCCCTCAAACTTTTCTGCTCGTATTCTTCAGGCTTGGTGTGATGCTAATTGTATTAAAAGTTTGAGTTGCATATGTTATGTCTCCTATTTCCATAACACTTTTCTATTTGGTTCCTTTGTTGCTCCCCTGCTCAGAGCTTGGATATGATAGATGACGAGGTGAGCTGTCGGTGGGCTGTGGGCTGTGTGTGGTGGCTGATGCGGTATTGTTTGAAATTTTCCTGTCTTTGCAGATGATTTTTGAAAAATCAAACAATGCATGACTACTTTCCTCTGTCGTGGAGGATTTCATTTTGCTAAATAGTTTCACTCTCTGCCCTTGTGTATATGCTAGTTTAAGATCTAGTCCTGAGTCAAGATGATCTCCAAATTCCACCTGCAGAGTTCCAGATTTATCTCCCCTCACCATTACTTTGACAGTCCATTCTGCTTCACCCTTCGTCTCCATCCTGACTAACTTCATCCCCTCTTCTGTGTTGCTTGTGCACATCCCTGAGGGGACTTCTGTCTTCTGGACCTTTCATCACCTTCATCTCCTCTCAGCTTAGTGGTTCTAGGAACCATGCTGCTCATTGCGCTACTAAAAATAATATTCTGCACTGGGCAGAGTCTGAGATTTGGAATAAACCACAACTGTTGGGCTCTACTACTTACTAGCTACGTGATCTTGGACAGATCCAACTTTCTGAGCCTCAGTTTCCTTATTCATTGAAAGTAGTTATGGACACTGCCAACCCAACCTTCCTCACAGGTTTGCTTGCTGCTCACATGAAATACTGCCTGTGAAATTTGCCCTAAGGATGATTGAGGGCTAAATGTTCTCCTCTTCTAAATGAAAGATACCTCAACATGTTTAAATATCTCTATTGTCTTATCAGAGCGTAAATGCGGTGTGGTGCGTTGCATATAGAGATTAATGAAATATTTGTTCTCTGTATCTGATAACCTGTCCTAAGTGTTTAATGTAAAAGTTTACAACACTAGAGTGCATTTTTCAATAGGAAACTACCTACATTAATAACGCTGCTTTGTTTGGGGGAATTTTTTAATTTGCAAGTATCGAAAAGCATGTAGGTGGTAAGCGTGTTTGTTATTAACCATGCTAGTGTGTGTACATACTTACCCATACACACACACACACACAGCTAGCGCCATTAACCTATCTTATGGTTGAAAATTAAAAGTGCCTCTCGTAGGCAAGAAATTCCTTTTGTTAGCATAATGTGCCATGCCAAGCCATAGCATTCAGTCCTTTAACAGCACTACGTAACATTCCTATCTCAGATCCTTGATGACGGACAGTCTCCCAAACACAGTCAGTGTCAGAATCGGGCCGTTCAGGAGTGGAATGTGCAGCAGGTTTCTCACTGGCTCATGAGCCTAAACCTGGAGCAGTATGTATCTGAATTCAGTGCCCAAAACATCACTGGAGAGCAACTCCTGCAGTTGGATGGAAATAAACTTAAGGTAAAGAATTATATGTCTATGTTAGGTTGCCAGGTGTAATTTCTGTTACTCATCGACTTAAAATGTTTTCATTAGATAAGAGCATTCTGTGTCTCTGAGTGGTAATTCTCATCAAAGGTCAGCAGAAAGGACGTTGAATTATTTCAACGTAGTAAATGAAGTTTTGGAAAGTGAGTCAGGGGTTCTAAATCAGAGTTGGCTGATGAGTAGGAAAGCCGGGGACTCACTCTATTGCCTCCCCCGAGCAACATGTCGTCCGTGGATTAACTCTGCCTACTCCCTACGTAGCATGAGTTTTAATAATGGCCAATGCAGTTGCCTACATTAGAGTTAAAAACCAGATCCATGAGTCTGCCCTTCTTTATTCATTTCTCCTCCATCCCACCCCTCCAAAACTGGGATGAGGTTTTCCCCAGAACTTGTTCCCCAAATATGTGCAGGCCATGTCTCCCTCCCCCTCCATTGCTCTCTCATCACCACCCATCTCTCTAGTCCATCTCTCTCAGAGACTGAGGTGGCACCACCCCTGTGGAAAAGGGCAAAAGATACTTACATCCCGCCCCCTCAAGCCTCCTGCTGGGCTGATGGACAGATGAGTATCTCTTGACAGTCTTGAAAAGGTTAGAGATCAATCAATAGCTATGAATATGAAGGCCCCATTGACAAGCCTGTCCCTGTTGGGGAGATGGATGCTTCCTGCAGTGAATTCTGAAGGTCATGGAACATTTTAAAGTACATAACCAACACTCCTTATTCTGAATTCTAAGCTCATAGAGCAACCACCTCATTATAATCAGTCTTCCTTTATACAGGGAGAGAATGGCTAGTCTTGCTGACATGAACATTCTGGTCCCAAAGACTTCTTTGGTTCTCATTGTAAATGAATATATTAGTAGGAAGGAAGCTATTTCAATTCCTCCTGCCCTTCTTGGAGGCCTCTGTGGTAGCAGGTGCCCACTCCTATCGTTTGAAAATATTGATGAGCTTAGCAATACTTTCATTTGTAAATGTCTACAGCCCAAAGGTTAGAGAAGCAGGATCATGTCCTTTTGCCATTCACTCATTAATTGCCAATTTGGGAAGCTTAATGAGGCTTACGATGCTGAGGACTTCAGAGTCCTCATCCCCTCCCCCCAAGTCTATAGATTTAGATTTTTGGCAGATACAATCAGCTCCTCCTCAGTTTTGGCCTCTTGCTTTGTGCGCAAATTAGTCTATGATTTTGAAAGTGCTGTGAGATCAACCTTGTCGTAAGCACAGAGTTCATGGGTTTTCATGTGTTCCTTCTCAGGCTCTTGGAATGACATCCTCCCAAGACCGAGCAGTGGTCAAAAAGAAACTCAAGGAAATGAAGGTGTCTCTGGAGAAGGCTAGGAAGGCTCAAGAGAAAATGGAAAAGCAAAGAGAAAAGCTGAGGAGGAAGGAACAAGAGCAAATGCAGAGGAAGTCCAAAAAGACAGAGAAGATGTCAACTGCAGCGGAGGGTGCTGGTGAGCAGTAGCACGCGCCCTGACAGGGTGGGGATGCCCCCGTCTCTACCTCCTCCTGCCCTGCTCTCCTCTGGAGCATGAAGAAGAAACTGCTGACAGGGATCGGGCAGATTGGGGACCTGTGTGTCGAATAACCGCATTTTCTGCAATAATAGAATACACTCTTAATATTCATCTACTAAAGTAACCCCAGACCACCTTTGGTTTATTAACAAACCAAGGCTCTCATTTATGAGAAATGCAAAGTAGCTGTGTTTCTCTCTTCTCTTACTTACCAACATCTTGTGTTGTGTTGGGTCATGTCACTTGGAGAACCAGTTGACCCTGCCCAACAAGAGCATGATGCCCCCTGGTATTGTTAGGGGAGCACTGTAAGTTTGCAGTATGGGGTCCTGAACTGGGTGAGTGCACATTTCTGCATGACCTGGGGCACCACTCCGCCGTAGGATCTGGGCTACAGAATCAACTCCAGTGTGTGGCAATGTCCCTCTCATTTCCATGTCTCGACTGTGAGTCATTCCCATGTGGAAATGTGGGTGCTCTGCCACGTAAGTACCTGCTGTGGCAAAAGCAAAGTGTCCTGCTTGCTGGGCATCAGTAAGAGAGGAAAGAAATTAGAGTTATTCGCTAACCCCAGAAGGAAGCAAAAGCCTTAAGATTGTGCATGTGGGTAATAGCTTGGAGTTCTAAGGGTAACATTTACCCTCCAGATTCAGCCAAACAAAGAAAAAAAATCACACATCAAACAGCCGTGGGATATTGGGATCTCTTGTTTCCTTTGTCACCACTGTATGTTCAGTATTTCAGCCGCACTGACACCCCACCTTCCCCCACCCCCCACCCCCAACAAATTGAACAGGAAATTGATTTTTAAGGAAACCAACATTTTCAGGTTTTTTCTCCTGGGGAACATTCTGGCTGGTCTTCAGCCTGGTTATGACACAATCAGGAACTTGTCCCGTATTTTCTACTCAAGATTTCCCAAGTGGGCTCAGTTAGTGTTTTAACAAATGTACTTTTAAGAAAAATAGAAATACCAGTTAAAGAAAATTTAGATTTGAGCAATTTTATTGAGCACACAGAATGTTCCTGTAAAGGAGAGCTGTCAGTTACATTTTGGAGATATTTTGAGTGGTTTTTCTGAGTCATTCTCTTCCATTCTTTGAAGATTTCCACTTTACAGTTCAATTTTGTTTAAGATAGGGCAAAAAATACAGCCTAACAGTAGAGGCAGTTAATATGTATTTAAAGCCAGTATTAAGGATTTCAGTATTTTCATCAAACTAATTCAAGTGCTAGTGACTAGGGCAGAAGGAGGAGAAAATAAACTCATCTTGAGAAACTTCAAATGATGGGGTTTTTTTTGCTGTTACTGTCTTGTTTTTTATACTCATTATCTGGTTCTCTTTACTGCATTGGCTCTAAAAATGAGGTCATCCATTTTCCACAGGACGAGTTTCAAAGTAAGAGTTAAAGCCAGTTGAAGTCTTGGACAAGTGTTTCTTCCTTTACTTTACTCCATGAGAGTCTCTATTTGTTCCCAGCCCTGTTCACATCTTCCACTGGAAATCTTGTATACACAGAGCTTATGGGGGGAAGGTTTTAGAAGGTCATGCTATAAAGGGGCTCCTGCCCGTATAGCTACAGCTCACATTTTCAACATTATGAATTGTTTTTTGCTTGTTTGAATATATGAAATCTGGAATTATCTCAACTAGAAGATTTACACTCCTATTCTTTCCCCAATGCCTGTTTCCTTTTCAATGCCAGCATATTGTCAGTTAAGCTTCAGTCCTTTGGTTACTTGCTACAAATCATTTATCCAGTCTCAGAAACACTGGCATAAAGTAACATTGTGCTTTACAATTGTCAAAGTCACTATGTATGTTTTCCTGTGTATCTTCATTTGGGTTATAATAATGAAACTGCCATACTGGATACTCAATATTTTGAGATGTGTGGTGCTTTGCTATTTATTACTATCACGAGAAACAAGGAACCACTACTAATGAACTATAAAATTCAGCAAATCTTTTCTAATGTTAAAAGACTAAATTATTCGAAATCTGATAATATTAATGCTTGCTTGCTATTGTAAATTTTTGCCATTTTTGCTTATCTTTGGGGGAAAAGGATCTGGATCACACTGGAAATTTCTCCGTATTCATTTTAAGAGTGGAAATAGATATAGAAGGATGATTACCTTAAGTTATGTTTACACTTTGGTAATGTTTGAAAATGGATGTATATACTGGAAATGTCTGTAAGTCTCCCATCTCTCTGCACATAATTTATGATCTATCATATTGCATTTTCTTAAGTGTCTTAGAAGTATTGTTTATTTTATCTTTGTGTGCTTCCAATATTTAGATCAATGACTGACTGACAATACTATAAATCAAACTCTTATTCCTCAAATTATTTAGTTTGTATTTTAACTGTTTTGATTCAGTTAAATTATAGTAATTTTACATCTTAATGAGTTATTTTAACATTTATTATTTAAAACTGCTCAAGTTGTAAGAGGCACTTGATTTGATTATCCAACAGAGGATAAAATGGAAACTGATTGATATGAGTATGAAAACAAAGTGAAGGACCTCAGATCTTAGGAACATTTTGTTTTCCTATTGTTTCTTTTATTTACTGACTCTAGTGCATGGTGACTAATTGAGGTTCCAGTTCCTGCTTTAATGCTTGTGATTTTTGGTGTCCATACAACTTAACACAGGATTGTTGCTTCATGAACCTTAAGGACTTTGGTTTTTTCATTCATCAGAAAATGAACACAAAGGGAATATCTGGTTACTGTGAACTCTAATCCCTAAAAGACAGCTCAGTATGACTTTAACAATAGCCAAAAGTGTTTTGGAGTATCGGTAATGCTTTTGGGGGGGGGGGCAAGGGATATTTGTGAGGACAAGCTGTAGACAGAGAGTGTTATATGAACTGAGTGTCTAGGGAAGGGTTTCCAGTAAGGGGCTTGAGTTTCATAACAGATTATTTAAGACCATCTCCCTTAAAGTAACTCACAGTTTAGAGTTTTCTCTTTTTAAAAGATGTTTTCATGCTGAATCAAAAGTTTACTTCTGAGTGATAGGTAGGACAGAACCCTAATTCTGCCCGTCTTGACACACTGATGAAGTCCACTTTTAGTCTCACGGCAATAAAGCTATTCTGTGTGCGCCTTCTTTAGGCGAGGTAGGCATTGACTTCCCACCCTTGACGTCTCTTCAGCGTTTTTAACCCACAGCCCTTCCTGATTATAGTGTGATGGGTGTTAATGCCAAATTCAGCTTCTAAAGGGCATGCATGATATGGCCACATCTGCCTTGTGCTTGTGTTGGAAACAAAATGGGAAGGGGACAGTGAGGAACCCCATGAGCCCTTGCAGCTGCCTTGTGCTTCATTATCCATCTCTGACCTGAAATCTTAGTGTCTCCTGGACAGTGGAAATAGTCACAGGGCTTTGGATCTAGCCTTGACTAATCTCTGTGGGTTTTGCTTGAAGACAAAGAATTCTCATGTGGGTCCTTTGTGTACTAAGATTAACATGTGCTTTAAAACTCTATTTAAGAAGGTAAATGAAAACTTGCATATATATGGATATTCTAACCCATTTAAAGTGTTAAAGGTTATGTAGATCAAGCTTCAAGAGAGAAAACCCAGTGTTGAATAACAGTGTTTGAGATGATTCTATATGGAATCACAGCAATTCTTGTATCTCAATTCTAAAAGAAATACCTGTATTTTGGATGTGTCTTAGCCCCCTCCCTACATTGAGACATTTAATAATTACCAAGTTCCATTTGGGAAGCTAAAGTTATAGTCCCAATACAACTGCAGATGCAGGATATTTGATGTGGGTGGACAGAAGTCACTAGGGTTCATGTCACCTACTAAATGCTAAGTTCTTAATACTTTCTAAATGAAAGGAAAATGGAAAATAAAAGCCCCTTTCCTTTCAAAATACACTTTCAAATTACCATTACTCAAGGACCTACCTGTACCTTATTTTAAAAATGAAACATTTACTGATGAAGTTCAGAATTTTGGTTACAATTTGGTGGGAGTGGGGAATAAATTCTCAAAAAAAAGCAGTGTTGTAAAAATATGAAGACATTTCAGTGATGCACTTTTGAAAAACAACCTGAGTATTCAGGCAGATTTTGTTTGTATTTGTCGTCAATATTTAAAGTCTCAGGAAATTTAGGCTCAGTCTAAAACACTGGGGAGCAAATACTACTAGACAAAAAACATTTGGATAACTTAAGGTATCAGCATAGAATACATCTAACCAGGAAATTAAGGGGCTAAGAAAGAGCCTATATCATCAATGCCCCCCTGAAACATGAATGCATTGAGTTCTATTTATGGTAGATAGAGGGTCTCGATATGCCTCTGCATGGGTGTCCATGTGAAGATGTTGAGGTAGTGTTTGTTACTTGGAAGCTCATCTAAGTGAATGTGTGGGTCAAGCACAGCATGTGACTTGTTTCTAAATCTACAGAGTGGAAAAAGGAAAAAACAGGATGATTTCCAACCCTTGGCCTTACCCTAAACCCGACCCCAAAACTGCTAGGGGATTCAAAAGTGAATGAGGTAAGGAATGAAAGAACAAGAGGCAACTTCTCAATAATGTGCATGCCACTTGTGTAGATGTACAGAACTATATACGTGTGAATATATCTTCCACCTACATACACACACATACTGCAGTCACACGGCATAAAAAACACATACTGTTTCTGGATCGGTAATGTCAGCTAGGACCCTGAGCAGTAATCATAGCCTTATTGCCACTTTTTTGGGTTGCGTATACATTGAATGGCTCATAAGATTTTAAGAGATTTTTTTTAATGTAAGTATTTCTACTAAAATGCACTTATCCTTCTACATGTTTATATATTTTGGTAAAATTGATTTATTAGATACTTGGTATTTTAGTAAGATAATATTTCCTCAAACGTTCGGTTAATGCTTTGATGTCAAGATCGCACATTGCTGAGTTGAAGCTCAGAAATTTACATAGCTTTGGGCATTTTCAACTGTGGACTGCAGTTTCCTTGGCTAAAAATTGCACTGTGTTTTCTTGTGCGTTCATTCACACTCTAGAATGACATCTTTGGTGGCTGTGATGCTTAAGTCATTAACTACTGGCTCTCTGATGGCAGTGTTTCCATCACATAATCATCTTTACTTCTTTTGCTCGGTGACGGCATGGTTAAGTCATTGCCCTATCTAACAAAAGTGGATGTGAGCATGAATATGTTGTTGGAAGGTGTGCACTTCTATTTCTTTCAACTATTTTTTCACACGGCCAGACTTTCTGTTGCAGGTTCAATCTTTCATTCCTAGAAGAACAATTGGCCACAAATAATTAAATCACTTTAAAAAGTGGGAAGTAAGCAGCTAGATAACACCTCCTAACAACATCAGATTTAGATAGTGCTTAGTGACACCACTTAAATATATATGTATATGTTCTCCTTAATATTATTTATCGTCGTCACTACTGCTTTTGTAATTTTAATGGTATTGCATTTAAACCACTAGTACAACTACTACATATCACTAACATAACTGGCCAGCTGGACAAAAAAAAAAAAAGAGAATGAATTATTCCATTGTAAGAAGTTGATTTATTTTAATCTTTCGTTATCACTAAAGGGAAAAAGTTGTTTGAAAATAATTTTAAGTCCAATAAGTACGGATAGCATGTTACCTGAAACTTTTAATTTGTACATTTTTGTGTCTGTTCATTTGCATGGAAGAGACAATAGTGCCACGTCTGAATTGTTCTCTTGTGCTTGGTTATAAAATGTATTTCCCTAGATTGTTCCATTTCAAATGACACTTCTTATTCTTTGGTTTTCAGAGGCATTCAAAGCAAATTATCACAGTGGTCCTTTGTTTCCAACTAATCTAAAAATACCTGTGATTAAATTTAATTTGTTAGTGTAAATAAATTTCTTGCCAATGAGTATTACTGTTGTTAGACAACGAATGCAATAAAAAGAGAAATACTAAGATCTGTCGAAATAATTTTTTTTTCTCTTCCATTTTCACCTCCAACTAAAACAAGCCTTGACTGGGTAAACTTGTATTAACTGTCAAAATATGTCTATCAATCAAGAGCGAAGTGCACATTTTTCATGGAAATGAAACTAAAGATAAGTTTTAGCCCTCATAAAGTGTAAATTGGCAGCTAGAATTACATTTGAAAGCACAATTATGGAACTGGGCATAAAGTGAAAAGATTGAAGCTTCCACTAGAAACTCCCTTGCCCATCTTTGTGTTCCGTCACAGGTTCACCAGCACAATTCCTGATCCCTGTCAGCCAGGAGAAGGTCTGGGGCAAATCCATTCACCTCACAGTGTGGGGCAAGCTAAGAGGCAGGACATCCTGGAGTATGGGGCTCCTTTAACCAATTTTATTCTTAAAACTCTAAGTATCCTTGGTCCAACCACTATGGAGAGCTGTGTGGAGATTCCTCAACCTACTGAAAATAGAGCTTCCATATGATCCAGCAGTTCCACTCCTAGGTATTTACCCAAAGGGCACAAACATTAATTCAAAAGGGCACCTCCACCCCTATGTTTATAGCAGCACTATTTATAATAACTGAGCTTTGGAAACAACCCAAATGCCCAAAAATAGATGACTGGCTCAAGAAGTTGTGGCACATATACACCATGGAATATTACTCAGCATTCAAAAAAGATAAACACATGCAATTTGCAACAACATGGATGGCGCTGGAAGGGATCATGCTCAGCGAAATAAGCCAGAAAGAAAAAGAAAAATACTGGATGGTCTCACTCATAGCAGGAGTTTAGAAAACCTAAATAAGGGACCAGGAAAAAGACTAACCATAATAAAGAAAAAATCAAAATCAACATGCAACTATAAACCAGAGACACACTACGGGGTAGGGGGGTGGCGGGAGAGGAAGGATTAGGGTCAAAATAAGGGGGGTGCAATTGTATGGGGAATATAACCATAATGAAAATGCATACATTGTGCAAAAATGAAAAATGATGTAAGAATTATATAAAATAAAATATTTCAAAACAAAACAAAACAAAACTTTAAGTATCCTGGAGATGTGAATCTAATAAATGAGAAGCGTTAATTTCTCTTTCTTTTTCACACACAAGTCACTATTTTTCTGTGATTAAAACTTTGGCAATATAAACATTTGGATCCAGGCATTACAGAAGAAATGAGCTAAACTGTCTTTTCTTTGAAAAGGGAAAGCACGTATCCCTTTTGGATGATCTGGACGTAAAATCTGTCAAATTGGACCACTTTCTTTTGGGGCAGAATTTGCTGCTTCTGTCAAATACACATTCTGGTCATCTTATTGCTGATATGAAGCAAATCTTTTGAAAGCAAATCAGTTGATTTCTTTCAGCCTGAGCACCACAGCTAGGGACACTTTCACAGCAAGATGAGAATCGGTGACTGAGCAGAAGACACACCATGATACGCACACTGAAATCATCCCTAAAATCACTAATCCTCAAGGGAGGAAAGTGTTCTAACCAAACAAAATGATTCTGAATTATTACTTTAATAAGTCAATGGTCTTTTTTTTTTTTTTAAAGATTTATTTATTTATTTATTTATTTATTTATACAAGCACTGGGTACAGTCAGAAGCGCGGAGGGTGAGAGAATTCACCAGAGCCAGAGCGGGGAGCAGAGCAGGCAGAAGGACCGAAGTACACTGCTGAGGGGAGCAGCGGGCGGCAGGAGAGGTCTGCGCGCCATGCGGGACCCTCCTCCGGTGGCCGGGGAGCAGCCGGGGATAGAACCGGCACTGCAGAGGCTGCAGGCGGCTTCGCAACCCAGCGCTCAACTGCTTTGCCACTGGGGAGGCCCATGGTCTTAAACTGTGTGCAGTTCTCAATGTGTGGGCAAAACGTTTTTCACAATAGGCCAGACAATCACACAGAAAAGGCCTTAGAGGAATCTGAATTCCAAAATGACTGTGTTCACAGCCCATAGAAATAATACAGCCTGGAGACCACACCTTCGAAACAGACAGACAAATGAAGATGGGTAATTTTTCATACCAGCTTTCCTTAAAAATAATAATAATGTTATCTTTTCTCTCTTCCCTCGGAAGATAGCCAAGGTCATTGGTCTTTTCTTTGTTAGTTTACCTGGCTATTGTTTTCTTCTTAGCCTTGGCTCCAAGTTGGAAAAGGAAAAAGCAGCCACCATCACGTTAACAACAACACTCTTAGAGCGGGCTACTCTGTATCTACTCAATGAACTCAATAAACATCCTCCCTACACCAGGTCAAAGAAGTTAAAAGTACAATTTGTGTGGAGACAAAAGAACGTCCTAATTTTCAGTTATGACCGCACTCCCAACAATTTTAAGATTTTCCAACATGCCATCACTAGAGGAGAATTGAATAAGAGAGAGTAAAAGGAAAGTTAAAGTAATTTAGGTTTGTATTTACTGAGAAAGTCATATAGAGAAGAGAAAAATGGTGACTGCACTGTCTGATGGCTCACTGAGAGGTGTCCCCAGAGGCGAGCGGTGACTTTTTAGGCTACATCTAATTTTCTAGCATGTGAACTGAAGTTGCTGAGTACTGGGATTTTGAGGACTTGAAATCATCCTGCTCTCCTCTTTGCTGAATAAGACTCAGCAAGGCAACAATAAGGTCATGTCCTCTCAGGGAACACATACTTTAGGAAAAGTGATTTTTTTTTTTAAGATTTATTTATGCATGTAAGATATGGGGTACAGGCCAGAGATGTGGAGGGTGAGAGGATTCACCAGAGACAGAGTGGGGAGCAGAACAGGCAGACTGACTGAAATACACTGTTGAGGGGAGCAGCGGGGGAGTCAGGAGAGGTCTGCTGCACCATGTGGGGAGCTCCCTGGCCAGGGATCGAACTCGTGCTGCAGTGGCTGTGGTAGCTTCATAGGTTATGTCGAAACCCCTTGCACCACCAGGGAGGCCCCTAGGAAAAGTGATTTTGGGGTCACATAGAGTTAAAATATTATTTAAGACCTGACAACTGACACGGTGATTTAAGCCCTTTCATTGAAGGGGATTTTTATTGGTAACTGGAGTTTTCAAGTATGCCAAGATTGGTTTGATATTGCCCTCTCAAAAATCCTTACACATATCTCTTCCCAGTTAGTGGTTTCATCCCTCATGATGTCCAATTTAGGGTCAATCTGCATTGTTCAGAGGAGGTCACTATAGCCCCTTCGATGTGGCAAGTGGTTGAAATGATGGCTTCATTGTTTCACGGCCTGGGTGCAAATCAGCCTGTCAGAGCTTGCAGTAAAGAGCTTTGTGGAACACGGTGCCAATCAACAGTTTTCCTTTGTACACAGAGGCAACGGTACTTCCTTGTAACACTCTGCCATTTTCTGCATATACCACTGTGACTTTGGGTTCTTCTGTTAAAATGTTCTGGATTTGGAGCACCTAGCAAAAAAAAAAAATACTATGTTATTTTTTTTAACCACTTAACACATAACTTTAAATATGGGGTCGTTTTTTCAGTAAGAAGAAACTTTATGTAAATCACATTTTGTTCCCCAATTACTTTCCATGTAAGATGCCTGAGTTTCCTCAGCAAAATGACAGATTTTGATCAGGTGGTTTTTAACAGAGGTGGAGACACATATGCCTACAGAGGCTTGACAAGAAATATAAATGAGTAGCACAACATTGGTGTAAGACATTGGGGAGCATTGGGGACCAAAGTAAGTAAGGGAAAGAAAACTGTTACTCCATAGCAATAAATTACTGCCTGCCAGATAAGTTTTAGTATATTTTCAAATTAGCTAAGAATTTGGATGTTTACCCTTAATTCTTGGATTCTTGATTTTTAATTGCTGGCAATTAGGAAAAAAAAAAAAAACAAAAAAGATCATGTCTGCATATCTCTGCACACACTCATCCAGTCCTCCGAACTTAAGGTCTCAGCTCTGAATGTGTAAGAGTCTATCAGTTCCCTTTCCTTCATTTAGCCAAGCAGAAATGATTGTATCATTAGAAACAATGTAATAATATGTTCAGCTGACTATATGTAACAGCCAGTATTTGACCATTTTGGTCAATAAAATGGTAATTGTGTGTGAGTCTTCCTATTGTACATCAGACCACCCTACAAGGCAGGAGGCTGGGTCATGTTTTGAATCTTCTACTTGCCATTTATTTATCTGTAGAATGAGACTGCTAGGACTATATTAACTCTAAATTTCCTTTCAACTCTGGCTTTCTATTATTCTTAAACCTTTAGGATAAACACAATGACTTGAAGAAAGGAGTACTCAGCAACTCTCTGTTACCTAGCTACAGAAATACCAGATATGGCAGATCAGGAAGACCATTTTAAATGGGTACTCATTTAAAAGGACCTTTTTGAAACAGCTGGCACCAAGGACAGGCATTTTAGAAAATTGGCATATCATTGCTTGTATCATTGCATTAACATGTAGCACTTACTGGGAAATAGTTGATGGTGCACCTTGGCTTAAGGAAGCCCCCTTTTAATAAAACGAAATCACTCTCCTGTGGGACAGTGCATTATATATAATGGATTGTTATTACTTTTTGTCATTCCTTACCAGAGCCATCATTAGAAAGGCAGTATTATTTCCAGAATAGCAAACCAAGTTCATGCAATAGCAAATGACCCAAGTTCACCAAATGAGCTAACAAGCAAGAACAAATTAGAATCTAACATTCTGCTCAGTTCTGAACGGAGAGCATGCCACAGCATACATTGCTTCAATTCTGTTAAACATCCTGCACAGCATTCCTAATAGCTTAGAACTGGCAAAAGGCACAAAGGATTGCCATTAAACAAATCACAATTGTCCCATAACCTGGAGATTAAAGATATAAAGACCATAATGTAATTGGAAGTACACATTCAGGATTTTTTTTGCCCAAGAAAAGGAGGTTTTAATTTTTTTTTTTTTCCATGCTGGGGGCATAGGGGTGAGACAGGCTTATAAAACTAGCTTAAAAATACACAGCAGTC